TTAACTTTAAAATAGCATTTATACATAATTAATTACATATGTCGGCCCATCATGACAAATTTAATAATTTCCCAACAGGACAAACATTGGCATTCTTAATTTAAAGAAGACGATAGACGTAAAGTGCCTATAAAGACTACAAATTTCAGAATCTGTGTTCCTTTTTACTAAAAGTTTCTTAATTGTTGTTATCAATAGCTAATTTTGTCTGGAAACGGGTCAATGCCATTATTTAAATTGAATTTTATGGATACTGAGATCTTTTAAAGTACAATCGTGCTATGCTACCACCCTCTGACAGACCACTCACAATGGGGGCAGGAACTTTTTTGTTCTTTCCATGCGAAGTATCGTCAACAAGGATGACATTTTCTTTACAAAGAAGTTTAATTCTATTAAGATATGTTGAGATCCCTTTCCAATTGAAAGCAAATATTTGAAAGTATTGGCAGGTTGAAGAAAAATACATAGTTTTTACCTTCTCTCTCTTTAGCAGTTTCTTTCAAAATTTTAATGTAGATTGCAGCTTATCTTCTTAGTCATCATCAACATAGATTGTCTCTTGCTTGAATAAACCGCCAAACACCTTCCTTACTTCTGTCTTGGACTCTGGTTCTTTTGCTTTTGGCTTTGGAACCTCCTTTTGTTTTAAGAAAGAAGATTTTGGCTTTGGTGCTGGGTTTTTTACCACCGCCTTCTGGGAAGGCAGAGACCAGGCTTTGGCCTGTCCCCTGATTGTGGCAATCTGCACTTTTGATTCCTCAGACGACTTTTCAACAACTGATTTAAGCTGTGAGCTCAAATTCTCCCAAGAGATCCCAGAACTAACGCCTTTTGCTTTGTCCAAGAGGCTTTCAACTGATGCTCCTGCAGCTTCTGCCTTCTTTTGGGCCTCTTCAGCAAGATTGGCAGCCGTAGCTTCTTGTTTTTCCAGCTTTTTCACCTCTTTTTCAAGCTTCTTTGCTGCTTCTGCAGCTGCACGAGCACGCTCAGATGCTTTAAGAGCTTCCTCCTCAGCTTGAGTTTTTGCAAGTGCTTCTGCATAAGCCTTCCGTCTTCCATCCTCTGGAATGGCACTGTAAATTAAGATTAATTTACATTTGAGACGGCATTCCACCCAAAAGTCAGAATAGACCATATTTTTTTGAACTAAGAATGTGATTACCCAAAAAGTTCATCAATAGTCTTTGAGGGTGCTGATGGATCAGTGAAAACCTCCACAACCTGAATATTAAAAAGTAGTAGATTAAATGGTTAGCTAACTAATTGTTATTTCACTTATAAGAGAAGCCAAACAAAGAAAAGCAAAGTTTCATCTACTTCAATGTGTAAAAAGTCTCAATCATGTATACAGGCCATAATAGTTCTCAAGATTATTTGAAGCATTGAAGCTATACAGATAATAGAAGAAGCTCCCAAGCACAAGAAAGATCGTGTGGAAACCAGCATTTCCTAATACCTTTTCCCCCTAAACTACTCGTGCCTTTGATCATTGTGACACCCGAGCAAGATTATCCTAGCCATGATATATATTTTTGCGCTTTTAGAGTTGCTACTCATGTAAATTTGTCTCTTTCTTCCAACTCGGAAACTCCTATGTTGGAGTTGTGACATTTTGTTGTCACATGAAGAATTGTATTTTTATTGTAATCTAGTTTGTAGCTAGTTTAGTTGAAATGTCTAACTAAGTTGATGTTAAGTTATACTAGATTATAACTAGTACAACACAAAGTAGTAAACCATTCTACAAGCAAGAGTAAGTTCTAGTAGCAAAGTTGAAAGCTACTACTTGCAAAAGGATAGTCAAGAGGTAGTAAATATCTCTAAATATCTTGTAGAATATCTTGTAAGTTTGGCTATAAATAGAGCCAATTTGTAAGAGAAAAATATAGAGGATGAATGAAGGATTTGTTATAGAAAAACCATCTTTAACAATGTAGACAATCAAAGTTCCTTCTTCTCCTCTGATCTGATAATAAAACCCATATGAATTTTATTATGTTTTTCGTATGTTTTATGCCTTATAAACTGATATGTGAATAACCGGTATACTCTCCTCCATACACAGGATCAAAGATGTTAGGGGCTCTCTTAAAAGAGTCTTATCAAAGTCAAAATCTCAACATGGTATCAAAGCATAAATGATCTTGGAAAGGGGCCTGAGGTTGAAAAAAGAAGAAAAAAAAGAAGAAGAAGAAGTTAAAGAAGCTGAAAAAAATTGGGAAAAGCTGAAAAAAATAGAGAAATCTGGTGGAAAATGAAGCTGAGAAGTGGTTGAATCTGGTATGTTTTTGCAAGGATTTAGAGCTGAAAAACTAATCTTTGAATATTAGAGTTGAAAAACTAAATCATTAGCATCAAACAATTGAAGAAAATCAGCTGAAAAGGTGTTGAAAAAGGCTGAAAAACAGAGCATTCCTCTGTCAAATCCGGAGAGTTCATGCATATACGGTAAGATTATTGCAAATACGGTGAGCTCCTTGCAAATCCGGTAAGTGCCCTGTTTTTCTAAAAAACCAGTAAGACCCTTGCAAATCCGGTTAGCTTTGTGCATATACGGTA